TCAGACAATTTCTGGAATTGTACCATTTTTTAGAGGTGGTTGGTCCTACCCATTTTTTCACCTAGGTAACTTTTATCTCAGAGATTATCATCAGTATTTGGGAGTACCATGCTATTGGTCCCATATACCCACCTTGATCTCTAAAGTCCCTTTTAATACCTAGAGTATATGTTTCACAAAATTGTCTATTTATTTATGTTCTAGGTGTTGTTTGGTATATGACGCTAATTTTCCTCTAGGTTTCTCTCAAGCTATAAGAGTATCAAGTACAGAATTGTTCCATGCTTAGTCTTAGGAAATAATATTGATTAAGTAAATGCTGGGACAGGGATTGAGGGGAGTAACTGATCAGAAATTTAACAAATGTTGAGCTGCATAAAGTAGATTATATTTCTTTGAACCAAAAAAGTGGCTAAGACTGAACATCTTGAACATCATTTTCTCTGATATTACCTCAAATTAACAACTTTAAGATTATTTTAGAATTGTATCCCTGAGCCTGCTTAATAATCTTAATATTTAACATGTAATTTTTATATATTGCTAAGCATTGTTCTAAGTGCTTTACATGTATTAACTCATTTAATCATCTGAACACTCTGTAAGGTAGGTGCTATTATTATCCCCCTTTTACAGATGATGAGGAAATTGAGCCACAGAGAAATTCCCCAAGGTCAAAAGTTATTCATAACTATCAGACACCAGGTGTATTAATTCATCTTAATTCAAGACTCATTTGTTAACCACCTAATATATGTAATAGTTGACAGGGCAGACAAAAATTGTATACTTAAGCAAGGGTAAATCATAATGCAATAGTGCCATAAGTGAATCATCTAGGCGAGTCAGGCTCCTTTCAGTTAGTGGGAAATGGAGAAAGATAATGTAGTTAAGGTCATGAATAGCACAGGAATATTTGCTTGGGTAAGTCAGGTTTGGGGAAAATACAGAAAAAAAGGCTTGGTTCTGAAGTGTGTGAAAACGGTTATTCTTTTGTGAGGACTAAGATTACTTTTAGAAGGGGCATCTGATGCAGTACAATAAACCTGGGGTAACGGTAAGGAAATACACATGTATGAGGCTTCTTAGGATCAGGGAAAGAGAAAGGTGCCATATGAAGTCAGTAGGAAAGGGTAGCAATGTGCTTTTCCTGCCCTTCCCTCCACCCTTCCCCCCTTCCCCCCGCAGAGAATCTGTAAATAGCCTGATTCTACCCAAATTCCTTCCCTACCCAAATTCCCTTGACTACAACTCAGACCCTTTGGGTCTGCGCTTTTTGGAAGTACTGTACTTTTACATTCTGGCACTGTAAGCCCGAAACGTCCTTTAGGCAAATGTTAGGAGGGGAAAATCTATTCTTACAATTCAAAACCGGCTCGAATCCTACCAGAAAGCATTATATTTCCGGACTTTATCGTACCTCGCCTGTCCGTTTGTTATAAAACTACGCGACACACCTGGGTACACAACCTCAGATCCTATTCTAACATCGTTTCATCCTGTTACCCTTTTAAGAGGCGGATCCCGCAGTGTCCTTTCCTCCCTCCCAGCCACCTCTATCCCTCAGTCGGCTGGGCGGAGCTTCATGCTAAAGCCCCAGAGCCCGACGCGGCCGCCGCGGTAGCGGAAAGAGCTGAAGCTCAGAGGAGCTGCGTCTGCGGCAACCTGTCTGCTGACGCTACGTGCCTCCTGGCTCCGACCTAGCTGGCAGCTCACAGTCTCACTCCGTTCCTTCCCTACCTGGCGTGTACCTGCTCAAGGCCAGGGTCCTGGCAAGCGCTAGGAGGGCGAGTGCCAGGGCCACTAGGGAGCTGCGGAGCGCGCGCGCCATGGGGCCACCGCCTGGGGCCGGGGTCTCCTGCCGCGTTGGCCGTGGCTCTTCCCGGTTGCTGGCATGGTGCTTCCTGCTGGCCCTAAGTCCGCAGGCCCCCGGCTCCCGGGGGGCCGAAGCAGTGTGGACCGCGTATCTCAACGTGTCCTGGCGGGTTCCGCACACTGGAGTGAACCGTACGGTGTGGGAGCTGAGTGAGGAGGGCGTGTACGGCCAGGACTCGCCGCTGGAGCCTGTGGCTGGGGTCCTGGTACCGCCCGACGGGCCCGGGGCGCTCAACGCCTGTAACCCGCACACGAATTTCACGGTGCCCACAGTTTGGGGAAGCACCGTGCAAGTCTCTTGGTTGGCCCTCATCCAACGCGGCGGGGGCTGCACCTTCGCAGACAAGATCCATCTGGCTTATGAGAGAGGGGCGTCTGGAGCCGTCATCTTTAACTTCCCGGGGACCCGCAATGAGGTCATCCCCATGTCTCACCCGGGTGAGTGCAGCTACTAGATTGCACCCCTCCAGACCTCTGCCTTGGCCAGCTTTTCTTATTTTCCTCATTGCCCTCCTCACCCTATCCCCTTGCTCCCAAGGAAAGTGTGTGATCTTTCTGTCCCCACATAGTGGGGCAGGGTCCTCCCCAAGATTCACCAGGCGTGGGGGTTGGGCGGAAAAAAATCCCTCATTTGCCTCTCTGGTGGAAAAGGGTAAGACAAACCGGGTGCAGAGGCTGGCAAATCAAGGACTGTTTGGGCTCTGTTCCCTTTTCCTGGTGTTTCACAAAGGTGTCTAGCCTTGGATTAGGTGTTGGTGGGCACGGGCTCTTAAATAACCGAGGAGAAGATCACCTAGAAAGCTCTTCCTCACTCTGCTGTTTAGCAACCTCGGTCTGACAACAGATTTTCCCCTCCTCTCCTTGTTTTTCTCTCCATGTTTCCTGGGTATCAAATACTAGATTGTGTTATTGTGCCCTCTTAACCTCATTGCAATTTTGGTGGAAACTTTGCTTAGTTCTTGGGTTTTTCTCTGCCCAGTGGTCTCAAGTCCCAAATTACTGTTGATATCAATGTTTTGTTTGCTTCTGAAAAATCTGATTTAGGTTATTGAGTTGCAAAACAGGTGACTAATGTTCTTGAAAAAGAGGTTTCTGTATGAGGATAGCAAAGGCCTAGACTTTGGAGGAAAAATAGTCCAGGTAGTTCTTAAATTCATGGAGCTGGTGTGGGGATACTATTTTCCCCCCTTCAGTTATCCTTCCATAAACCTCCCTATTTGTGATTAGGTATCCATGCCTTGTGTACATTATTATCCTAGACACTAAAGGACAAAGGGGGGAAGATGTAGAAAAAAGAAAGAGACACGTGTAATAGCGGTGTATCATAATTTTTAAAAGCTGGGCCTCAAGTTAGAGCTTGGTTCAAATTCCTAATCTGTTGCTTCCTAGTCCTGTGACCTTGGGCAACTTATCTGAAGTCTTAGAGTCTGGGTTCTCTCATCAGTCAAATGAGAATGAATAATAAGAAAACTTCTCCACAAGTTTGCCTTCAGGATGAAATAATTCCTTAAAGAGTTTTAGCACAGTAAAGCAAACCATCCAATCTCAGTAAGGGTTAGCTGATAGCATTAGCCTTCTAAGAGTCAGTGGAAAGGATGAAGCTACTTATTTGAGTGCTGGAGGTTTTCTGTTTTTCTTAAAATCTTATGACTGACCCTGCCTAGAGACCACTTGCATTGAGTGGCTGGGTGGCCTAATGGAAAGAGCACTGAATTGGATCTCAGAAGATTTGAGTTCTTTTAGCCCCTTCTTTGCCTCCACCAACTTTGTAACCTTGTACAAGTTACTCACATGCCAAATGGTTTCTATAGGCGGTGGAGGCCAAGTTAGCAGCGTGTACCAAAACAAAACAAAACTAGATGAACTCTAAGATCCCTTTCAGATCTAAAATGCTATGATTTTTAGATTTTATATTGATTAAAGAAGAAACTGTATCTCTCTTGGCCGATAATTCATTGATTAGAATGAATCAGTAGCTTTTAGAAGCTACTGAAAATCAAGGCTAAAGACTTAATAAAGTTTATACTATTTATATTTCAGTGGACAGTCTAATAGCAAGGGTTGACTTTGTCTTCTAATGAGATTCATGTGCCTTAAAGATTTGTAATTGAAGAGTATTTAGTTAGAAAGTTCTACTTAGACCATTTTCCTTTTACTTCTGTTAAGGGTATTTATCTGATAGTTTTAGAAGACAATAAAATTGACTTTTGCTGAGTTCCCACTATGTGCCAGGCATTCTACATACATGTTACTTAAACTTTATTGAGAGGCAATATGGTATACTAAGAGAAACACAGGCATTTTAGTCAAGATTAGGAATAAAATTCTGGATTTACTACACAATGGCTTTGTGTCCTTGGTCGGATTATTTAACTTTACTGAGCCTCTGATTCCCCATCTGTAAGATGGAGATAATATTTACGTTGCTGTGATTATTAAGGATAATATATGTATACTACCCAGCTGATAATAGTCACTGAATGTTATAATAGGTTAATGCTAACAGGATGGAAAAAATTAATGTACAAATGTATGATTGTGCAACTGTCGATTTGAAGGCATGAATATACTGGAAATCTAATTATGGCAGCTGTCTTTCAGGACACCATATAGGAATAAAGGCCTAAATATTGATCACTAAATTATACTACATTCAGAAAAGAATTTTGATACTTTAAAAACAATATTATCTGAGATAATGGCTATAGCAAGTTTGCCATCAAGCTAGCTAGCCAAAACTAGCAAATTACTTGAGGTAAGGAATCACAGTTCTCCTCGAACTCCTGGAAAAACTACTTTTCAATATAGGGGGAAAATTGCTATGCATTTTATCCACATGTGTTATTGAATATTTGTTTGCAAAGTGTTGTATTGTTTGCTTTACTCATTCCTCAGAGTAAGCCTAGAGTTTCCTTTTAATCTCTGGTCGAAAACTTATCTTGGATCATAGTGGCAGAGAGAGAGGACTGAGATTTAAGTATGGATTAATTCATTATATATTGCCACAAATTACAAAGGAGCCATCAAATGTGGAAAAGTCTTCTGTATCTTCTGTGTTTACAAAATCTCTCTTCTCTTACTCTCATAAGGACCTGCACTTGAATTGTTTGCCCTTTGTTAGAGTTTGTGCTAAGTGTCTATACTCTCACCTATCTGATTTAGAACAGTTGCTTTAAAATTTTTGTTTAGGCGAAAGAAGCCCCACTATATGACAGCAATCAATTAGGAAAATTTGACTTTTATGTATACTGAAATTTTACAAAAGGTAATTGTAGCCTAGCATCAACTCATGCAGATTATTTCTGTAATTTATTTTGTTTGCAGAGTATTCAGAAAATTCTGATTCACACAGATAAATAATTGCAAATGACAGATGCTCATTAGCAGTTTGCCATGCAGCCTCTGGATATATTTCAGTCAAATCAGTGCAGAAACCTTAAAGGAAATTAGGAGAAAATTTTTCTTCCAAAATTTAATTACCAATCACATTTCTTATCTTAAAAATGAAAATCAGATAAGAAGCGGCCAAATCATAAAGTAACCATTAAAACTATCTAAAATATAAGATTGTCACAATGAGACACATTAAGCACGTTCTTACTGTTGCGCAACAAACCGTTCTCCTTTCACCAGGCAGATGGGCCTGAGCCTTGCTTGCTGTCTAATTGAGCACAACCCACAGGTTGAAGAGGTGTGTGTACTTGCTTGTACAATTTTCCTTGAGACAACATTGTAGGCATGAATTTATTGAAAAACCCGTGCAGAGCTACAACCTTCATAATTCATGAAACGTTTATAAGAACTTGAAACAGAGGCAAAGGAATGTCAGGAGAAACATTATTCCTGAGGGCAGTAAAAAGTGAATGAAATAAGCAGTTTAAGTTAATGATTTGGGGGTCTCCAATGGGATACACCTTGATATATAACATAGCTGCTTGTGTACATTGTTGAAAGACAGTGGAACAGATTAGTTAAGAGGTTGAGCTCAGCCACTTATTATTGTTTAAATCTTAGGCCAGTTGTTTTACTTCTCTAAGTCTCAGTTTTCTCCTATGTAAGGTAGGCATAATAATAAACTTGCCTCCTAAGGTTACTGGGATTAAATGAGATAATGAAGATAAAGTGTTTAGTACAGTGTCTCACATAAAGGAAGCTACTATTATATTTTAATCACAGCTAAGATAGTTAAATATGTTTTAGAAAATTAAAGTTTAATCCAGTGTTTGTAGAACATAATTGGAAATGAACAGTCTAGAGTACTTCAAAGTCCACATTACCTGAAATTCTAATTTGATCCCTTTAGGTATGGAGGGTAGACTGAATTTTTACAAGAAAAAGATATTTTGGTCCTCCTGTGTTTATTCTACTTTTCTGAAATAACTGCTTCTCTTGCCTGCTGCCAGTCTTCTTCTGTTCACAGAGGACCTTGGAATAGTATGTTGTACTACTTAATCACCACCCAATCTCTTCTCAACCCTTTAATATTTAAGTTTTATTCTATTTTTTTCTAGGATGTTGACTTCGAAAATAAACTGTTTTTTAGTAGAGAAGCTCAAAAGAGATTGGCCAGTGGTGATTAACCAATGTAAAATACCATTCCCAAAGCCATTTTCAGATGTAACCTCCTTGGTATCTCTTGGCATTTTGTTCATGCATCTGACACTTCTTCTCCCTTGCATCCCAGACTCCCAGTACTCCTCTTCCAGTAAATAGCTGCCACATCCTGTTGATTCTGGCACTTCAAACATTCTCACATATGTCTCCTTCTTCCTTGCTTTTATTACCCTGCTTTCAGTTCCTGTATCTTCTCATGGGAAAAAATAGCCTCTTGATTGCTCTCCTTGCTTCCAGTAGTTTTTTTTTTTTCCTTGTATGCAGTTCTTCCTCCATGCCATCAGAACACAGCTCACATATATGCTATTACTTATAAATTTTAGACTACATTTCTCAGCATGACATATAAAACTCCTAGTAATCTGATGCCAAACTACATTCAAAGCTTTACATGCCTCTTCTTTCATGTTGGTCCCTAAACATTCTCTGTTCTATTCCACTAAAATTCCTTTGCTTTTGCTATTACCAACAGACCCCTTTTTTCTTAGCTGTGCTGGTCAAAAATTTATGCATCCTTCAAAATACAACACAAATGCCTCCTCATCTTTAAAGCCTTTCTTAATTCTTTCTTTTCCTCTTCCTAACACAGCCCGCACCCAAAACAAAGTATAGTAATCTCATTTTGTTCAAATAGCACTTTCTCTTTTATAGTACTTTCTGCATTTTGCTGGTAGTTATTTGTTTACATATTTTACTTTCTACTGGATTGTAACAATTTTAATATTTTGTTAATCTTTGTAATCCCTATAGAAACATTTGTACTATCCATGCTCTAGAAATGCTTGTTGAATTGCCTTAAACACCCAAGAACTCTAATGCCAGAA